GCAGACCCGCAGGCGCTGAGGTGCTATCTGTCCGGGGGGCTTCTGGGCAGTGATGAACGACTGTCACGCCTAGAGAGACCTTTCGGGGGCTCTCGCCGCGCCTCTGCGGCGCGGGTGACACTGCGGTGCTCGCGATCAGGGCGGCAGCTGCCTCTCAGTGAAGACGTCTTGGGGTCCGTGCCCTCTCCCTCTCCTTCCTCTTCTCGCTCCTTCCCTCCCGCGGCTGCTCGCTCCTTAGCTCTCCGGCTCACACCCGTAGCCTCCCGGAGCCGGAGGCGTACATGCCCGCAGCTTCTCTTCCAAAGGAGCTTCCTCACTTCGGAGATGCAGTGACAAGTTAATATGGGCATCCAAGCTTCGGGTTCCCAGGAGGAGAATCGCAAGAGGCAACGGTCCCTGAGCGTCCAGAGCCCTTGAATAGGCTGCAGAGGAGGGGCGTGAGACCAGACTGCAGCATCTGTCCAGGTGTCCAGCTGAGCGTCGCGTGCGACCAGTCCTCCGCCCCATCCCGGCACTGCGAAGGCGCGCTCACCAGATTGCTCCGAGATCCCCAAACCGGGGATTTTGTTTTTCTTTCCCTCGGCTGGTGGTGGGCGCCTCGCGGGCCGAGGCCCGGCGCCTGCTCTGCTGCCCGCGCTGCCTTTAGCGGTCGCCTCCGCCGCCGCTGCCAGGGACGTGCTGGGAAAACCGAAGCCCCGGGAGAAGATGCCGGCTATCCTGGTCGCCTCCAAAATGAAGTCGGGACTACCCAAACCGGTGCACAGCGCCGCGCCCATCCTGCACGTGCCCCCAGCCCGGGCCGGCCCCCAGCCCTGCTACCTCAAGTTGGGAAGCAAGGTGGAGGTGAGCAAGACCGCCTACCCTAGCCAGATCCCCCTGAAATCGCAGGGGCTGCAAGAGCTGGCGGGGGAGGGGCTCCCGTTGCGGATGAGCAGCTCCGTGGAAAACGGGTTCGATACCCAGGTGAGAGGAACTGTGTGCCGGGGCACTGTTCTGGGGGAAGGGTGAATACTTTTTTTTTTTCCCCTAGCAGAGGGGAGGTTGACATGGCTGGATAGGGGAAAGGGCTGAGAAGGGAACCATTTCGCTTAGGCCAGCAGATTAGGGGATGCGCGAGGGGAGTGGGCTGGCCAGTGGGTGTGGCCCTGGTGACCGAGGTTTGCCTTAAGGAGCTCTGCGAGACCCGGTGCGGGCTTGTGTGCGGCCTCTTCGTGGGGGCAGCACGGTCAGGATGTTCTCAAAAAAAAAACATGCGCCGCGCTAAACATGTGAGGTTCTGCTTGTGGAGAGCTTGGCCCCAAGAAGACAGTATCTACTGCAGCTGCTGTCTGTCTGTTGGTTCTGCAGATTCTGTCCCTGGCAAGGAAAGATCTGAGGCCTCGTTGGGCTCCACGCCCCCTGGCCTGGCTGCAAGATCCAGGAAAAGGGGTCTGGGAATGGCAGTGTACCTGCTCCCCTCAGCTGGAAGATGCCTGCCCCTGCCCCACCCTTTGAACTGACAGGATTCCAGGCACAGTGCTGGGACTGCTGTAGGAGTGCCCGGTGCACCAGCGGGGCTGGCAGCTGGAGACTCCTAGCGTCTTGGCTGGCTTTTGCGGTGGGGCAGGGGTGGCTGCCTCAGAATGGCGGCCTGAAGCTAAGCCCCTCCTTCCTAGGTAGTAGATCCCGGTGCGGGTAGCCCGGGTGACTGGGGATTGCGGAGGGGGATGGCTTGAAAGGATTTGGTGACTTCTACCTTTCCAGACAGAGCCTGCATCACCCAATTCGGCTGGGTGACAGGCCCTGGGCATGCAATCTCTTTTAAGGAAATCGGCAAGGGCCAATCAGGTTCTCCTGGCCTCCTGCCCTCTCTGCTGCTTTTTTTCCCTCTTCTGGTAGGAGGGAGCAGGGGCATGCTGTATTTTCTTGGCAGTGAGTCAGCAGGGACTTTTGGGGACAGGCGGACCTGACGGATGTGACTGTCCCGGTCAGGAGAGGTGGGAAGCCAGCGGGGGAGGTAGTTTGGGGCTGGTGTCGGGGAAGTGGCAACAGACCAGCTGACCTTTTTGGCACTTACTCTCTGCTGACCCTGTCTCCACCTTCTCCTGGAGCTTTCTCTGATCAGAGGCTAGAACTCAACACATTACTAGCCTTTCTGATGGAGGGACTGGAGCTGGAAGCTAATTGTAAGCAGACTTTTGGAACTCTGGACTGGAGAAGGCCCTCAAAGCAGATTAAGCTCCCACACCAGGCTGATAAGCATGCCCTTTGCTGCTGCACTTGCTAAACATTTTTGGAAGCTGACAGGTTTGAGTGATGGCATGTGGGAGGAAGGCAAGATTTCCCCCAAGGCTCCCTGGGCCTGTCTCTGCTAGGGTTTTGTGCTCTGCGCTCTGTTTTCTGCTGTTCATCATGGGATTTTTACAGGGGGCTTTGAAATAGAAATAATCTTGGGGGAGAGGGCACTCTTGTGAGGATTTCCCCTGCATCTTCAGAGGTAGAGCTGATGAGGTGTAGTAGGTGGTATGCGGGAGACCAGACCAGCGACCCTGGGAGGTGACACACACCCTCCAGCCTGATGAGGAGAACCCGAGGAATGAGAGGAAAGTGGACACTGGGATTTTTCCTACCCAGGCAGCTGTTCTGCCTTTGCACATTTGACCCTTCATTTAATGAACACTGTCAGAGGACTTGTAATGGGCAGGCTCTGGAAAGGTGATTCATCACCCTCTTCCCTGAAAACATGTTCTCCAGCTGCTACTGGAAGGGCTGGCATAGTTCAGTTCCCTCAAGGCTTTGCTTCTCTCCCTGACCTTTGGCCCACAGTCCGCAGAATGCCACCATCTCACCTGCCTTGCCCTCGCTGGGACCTTATGCACTGACCATGAAGATAGTTTGGTTGGACTGCTAAGGAAATTGGCCTCTCCCCAGTAGGCTATCCTGGGCCCACCTGCCCTTTCTTTATCCATGTTTGGGCTTCCTGGGGGGCTCTTCTTGTGGCAGGCACAGATCCATGTTCTCTCTGCCCCACCCTGGCATCCAAGTGACGTTGACAAAAGAGCTTTTCCCATCTTTGGACAGGGCTTCTTCCCCCTCTGACTGACATGGTGCCCACCCACCATCCAGGAAAGCCTCTCCATATGGCTTGAAGTCTGTCCGGCTTGACATCTAGTAGTCCCGGATTCAGAATCTGGTATTTATCCCTAGAAGACACTCAGGAGATGATGAGTTAAATGGCAAATGATATTTTAGAGCATCTGACTCTCCTTTTATTCAGGGGCTTTGGGGAGAAGGCTGGGTTGTGTAAATGGTCAGTAGCACAGGCTTTAAAGTCAGGTAAATATCTGTGGTGTCCTGTCTCCATCAGGTACTACCTAGGTGACCTAGTCGATTAACCTCTCTGGGCCTCAGTGTTCCCATCTGTGAAAATGGGCATAAACAACCATACAAATTGTGAGGATTAAGAAAAAATTATATGTAAGTTGTCAAATATACATATGAATTTATATATACATATATATATATATATACATCATATATACATATACAAGTAACATACGTAAAGTCCAGTGTCTGGCAAAAAAAGCACACTTAATAAAGTGAGCTATTTATATTGCTAAACCAAGAGATGGGGCATTGTTGAATGTCAATCTAATAGCCTCTAAGTGAGAAAAGGTATAGTTTATTCTCTCAAGCCCTGGAGAAGGTAACGTTCAGTTCAGAAGGATTTGCAGCACATCTATCACACCCCTGATACAGTACCAGGCATGGTGGGAAGATGAGGGAGGGGCACAACCCCTTGTTGAGAGCCTGATGTGCCAGACTCTTTACATATGATCTCATTTCATCCTCACAGTAACACTTAAAGCAGATATGACATTTTCAATGACAGGAAATTTTATAACTTTTCTATAATAACAATGATATAATGATGGCAAATCACGACATAGCACTTTTTGTGTGCCAGGGATGTTCTAAAATACCTCATTTGAGTCCAGTGAGATGAGTTTTTATTATTCTTATTTTACACATAAGGAAACTGAGGCAAAGACCAGGTTAGTAACAGTAGAATTAGGACTTGGAGAGTCTGGCTCTGGACTCCATGTCCCTAACCAGCATGTTATAGAGGGATAATCATAGGGACTTTCCGATTACTCGCAGGCCCTGATTTATGAGACCACTGCTCCAGCCATTGAGCTGGAAGGGTAAGCGAGACTTAGAGGTAGAGGAACTTGCTCCAGGTTGTCCTGCTCCAGGGTGGTGGAGCAGGGGGTCCAGCTCAGCTTGGTCTGGCTTCCAGGCTGCTGGTCTTCCCACTCTTCATTGCTGCCCGCCTCCTTCAAGCTCTGGCAGACATACAGGGTAAATAAGACATGGCCTGGGACTAGAGATTTTATAGTCTAGTTGGGAGGCATCACTGATGTACCAGGGGCATCACAACACCACACAACACAAAGAGGGCTGAGAGGTATGCTTGGGGTTCAAAGGAAGGGAAAGGTCAAGATGGCTGGAGAAGTCCAGAAAGCCTCCCGGAGGAGGCAGGAGATGGCAGGCTCCAGAGATGGGCAGGAATGGTTGAATGGGGAGAAGACGGGGTGAGATGAGCGTGCCAGGGGAGGATGAGGAGTGGGGTCAGGCAGTGGTGCAGAGCGGATGTCACCACAGGGACCCTGCAACTCATGTAGCAGGTCATTGCTTCATATTTAGTATCTTCCCTTTAAAAGGTGATGACGAGCAAAGAACAAAGGCTTCTTGCCATGTCAGGATTGGCTTTGCATGCTGGCTTTGTGGTGGATAGTAATCCTGAGCATGCAGGGTAGTTATGAGAAGGTGGAGAGATGATATCCATAAAAGACCTGGTTTATAACAGACCCTTAGGGAATGACAGTGATTATTATTATTAGCTTGGGGTTCAGAATATTCAGCATGGTAGTTAAAGGGAAAGGAGGCGGTTCTCACAGCTTCTTTTATTAAGTAGCAACTCTCTTCAGCCAGTGACAGCCCATTCTCCTCCAAGCCTGCTCTCCATCTCCATCAAGTGTGAAAAGACCTAAGTTAGCCAGCACATAGCTTTTAGGTGCAGCTGCACTGTCAACTCCCCAAACACCGCCCACCCCCACCCCCACCCGCCCCCTGTCACCATCACCTTGAATCTCTCCTATGAACCTACATCTGGGGCCCGACCCCTAGTGAAGGGAACTGGTCTGCAACACCACATCCCTCCCGAATTCCCTTCTTGGTGCTGGGATACCTGGGCCTTCCCCCAAGAATGAACATTTATAGCGTCTGCTCTGTTAACATGGTGTGTAAATTATGACCATGTGCAAAGACTTGTTTTAGAGACCTGCTCTATGTTAGTTCAGAACCCCTGTCCAGGCTGACCTTCAGATAAGGAATGCTCCTGATCTATTCGGGGAGAGGTGAACCTATTTTTAAGAAGCAGTTGCAGGGGAAAATATTATATATCTAATACTTTGATATTTCCTGTTTTTCGGAGTCTGGTGTTCAACTTGCAGCTCATTTCTTTAACAAAGTAATTAGAAGTGATTGAAATCCTTTGTGGGTGTTTTAGATGTTTAAAAAGAAAGCTCAGGCGAGGCCCCTGGGAAGGGAGCATAGCTCCAAGCTTACAACCTGTTGCAACTTTGCCCCATTGTGTTTTGATTAGAATCCTTGCTCCATCATCAAAGTTGATTATGGATTTGATTAGTGCATTTTTCTGCCATTGTGTTATTCCCTTTCTTCTCTTCCTCAGTTCTTGGAGGGGAATGTGTAGCATGGTTATCTGCCAACATGCAAGAATGTTTATAGTTCACATATTATTGCTTATTCCGTGGGTTAATTTTCTAAAGACACTTTAAGGGTGGGACTGGTGGCCAATTTAGGTTATTATTACGTGTGTATATATATGTGTGTGTATAAATACATCTACTTCTGGAGATGTGTATATACACATATATATGCACACATATACAAATATATAC